TGTTAGTATCATAAATGTTTTTCCTCATTGTCTCAGAATATTCATTACTATTGTTTAGGTTTCATATCACCGACCCCAACTTATTTGGAATTGAACCATAATTATTGTTATGGTTATAGTATGCAGTTACAAAAAATTAATGCAATTATCAACCAAGCAGTAGGTGGCATCTGAATGGAACTGTTCACAACTAGATATTCTAAGCCAAAATTTTGACACATAACATACTAAAATCTCACAGCATAATTTTTATGAGCACTTGAACTCATAAATATCCACAAATAGTTATAAAGACAAACCTAATTTCCTAACAATCAAGAAGAAAATGGCATGTTACTTAACATATTTTTCAAAAAAAATAGTCTGTCGGGTTGTATCCAAGTTTATAGTTCAGAAATTTAATTGAAAGAAGGCAAAAGAAAGAGTTATTATTTCTTTATCAAAAAAACAAAAAACTTTATCAAAAGAAAGAGTTATCACTACAAAAAATTTTATCTCTAACGGCAATTAATAACTTAATTGTCGCTTAATGTGTATTTTCAGAGGCAATTAGTACTCTATATAAAAGTCCCTAAAGTCTATAGCAACATTTAATCTAATGACAATTAATTAATGTCGGTAAAGGCTCTAGCACTCTTCATTAATGTGCATATTTATTGGTGATAAAAATTATTTTTGTTATAGTGTATTTTGGACATTTGTTCGTTTCAAGAAAGCATGATCTATTATTATGCCCAAAAAGAAGAGAAGAAGAAATATGGCAAATTAGTTAACTTGCAACAAAAGAAGTGAACTAATTGTCTCTATATTAATATTCTAGGAAGAGTGCAATGGCATACAAAATGTTTGTACCTAAGAAAAAATAATCAAAATAATATACTAATTGTGGCAAGTAAGAGAGCAATTTGTTTGGTTGTTTTAACAAACTTCATCATTGGTTCCGTATTACTTATCACATATATGTTGTTGTGTGTTATCAAATATAGCACAACCCACAAGAAATTTTTCCAAAAAGTATATGAAGAAACTTGTAGAAAGGGACAAAAGAGAAGATAAATTTTCAATCATCCTCACTGGAATTTTTAACAGAGTTCAAAAAAAGTCACCAAACTAGCATAAAGAAATTGCAATAGATACATGAAACACTATAACTTACAGTAAAAGATTAAGCTTCATGAATTAGGAGGAAGAAAATTTTGAGGAATGAAACACACGTCATAAGAAGCTTAATTAATGTATTTGAATTCGACTCCCCTATAGCGAAAAAAACCTACAAATAATAGTGGCAGAAATAAAAGATTTATTTACTAAAGAACCAAATCTAATGAATTCAACCATTTCAGCAGCGTTATGAGTTGTGGACTGAGAAGTACAAGAGTAGTTATGTCTCATTGTAATTAAAATTAATTTTCTTTGTTTATATGAACAAACCTGTAGAAAGAGACAAAATAGAAGTTCAATTTTCTATCATCCTTGCTGAAATTTTTTAAAAAGTCACCAAAATAGCAAAGAGAAATTGTCATAGTTACATGAATCACTATGACTTATCATAAAGATTAAGCTCCATGAAATAGGATGTTAATTTCTAACATTAATTATTGTATATGAATGCTTATTGTTGTTTTAATCTTTTTCTACTATTTCAACATTGGTCTACCTTTAAATTTGTGATTTTAAATGTCCTTCGCATTATAGGAAAAACAGGGAAAACAAGGAAGGGATTCTGCCCCACCCTCCCCTCTCTAGCAGCTTTCATGCTGGTACAACGGCTTCCGCTTTAGTGGAAAAATTCCTGCCTTAGCGAGTAGTGCTATAGCGGGTCGACCTTGCTATGGCGGCTCTAACAAAGTCATGCCAGGTATTTGAAATTTTTTGAAGGTTTCCCATTCCCCATTATTAATGTTAACCTTGGAATCACAACATAAAATTGTAAATATAAAATTAGGACCCTAATCCACTCTCACAACAAGTAGCATTACCATAGAATTCATACACTTTATCTTAAGTCACCGTACCTCCTTTTGTTGCCAACTCCTCAATCTAGGTCATTCCACCAATACCTTGTCCACTTGCAAGACTCTAACTAACCACCTTGACTAAAATCCCTGTTATCAGATATGTCCCAGACTATCCAGAATGACAATACAGTGCAAGCTAGAGAATAAGCCAAACTCCCGATCAACATTTGGAATTCACAAAGCTAAGAAAATATGAACAGACAACCATAAATTAGTAAAACAGATAACATACAATTATAACTACCGTCAAAAACATAACCTTGATTCCCCGTCCTCATCCGGACCTAACATTTAAAAACCACATGATCCACAACATTACAACAAGTCATACTTGATTCATCACACTTTTCAAATTATCTGGACCTCCAAAGATCCATAAAATATTATTATGATATTTAGTATGCAATCCTAGTCTATGCAAAGACTACCTCAATATTTAAATACATCAACCCAACCACTGAGGAATCAATATGTGATAAATATAACACAATAAATAAAGTTGGTTCTCTCGTAGAACCTACACATAAACTATTAGTGTACCCGAGCCAATCGAATGATATATGATACAAGGTGTTGTACATGTGCTAACCGCTAGTACATACCATGCTTGGTATTTGATCCAACCATTAGTAATTTGTACTGGCATGGTACTCGCGCCAACCAACAATCACAAATAATATGCACAGTCACACTTGAATCCATAAGTAAATTAAATAGGTTCGTTGCATGAGATCTATCAACATAATGTCGTTTCATATTCATCCCTTGAGTTTTCCCCATATGCCTTTCACAAGTAGTAAATACTACATAGTAGTTAACTTGCACACATCACATAACTTGGAAAACAAACAACCATCACCTACCAAAAGGATTTCTTCTCGGATATTTCCTGATCATAGTCAGATTACCCTCACTTACCTTCCCTAAGATAACACCTAGCAAAAATCATAAGTTCAACATAACCTAAGCAAGACGATTCTCAACCTAAACCACAACTAACCACAATTTCAACCATCCATAATTTGTACCCAAAAGCCTAAGCATGAAATCTCCTGACAATTTACAAAATATTATATAAGTAAAGGCAGGTCTAACTACTTGGTTAAGAAGCCTAGCCTACCTGGGCACCAAGTCGTTGTTGAAGAACTTTGAACCCAACATTCCGACTCTATGGTGCGATTCGTGATGAACGTAGACCGGAGTTTCATGGTTGTTGACCTTTCTTGCACTAAATCCCTCCCCTCAAGCTTAAATTGTCCTAGCAGGATTTTTATGGATAGCCCAAACCTATTTTACCATTGTAAGAGGGCAGGTCAATTAAAAGAAAGTGTGTTTTTCAAGTTCGAACCCCGCTATAATGGATGACTTGCCGCCATAGCGGAAATATTCCCGTTATGACGGGATGATGTCATTCAGGATCAACTTTTAAATTCACGATTTTATTGAGTCACCCCAATTTCAAATTGGTGACATATTGTAAAACATTTTGAGACTCCGCACGAGGTACCTTTTAAATAATGACGGATCATGTCATTGTAAAATACAACCTGGGAATTAGAGTTTCTATAACCAAATTCAATGGGGAAAACGAATCATATGATGACTTACTGTGAAATGCATCATTACATTTATTTTACTTTTTTCTTATAATAGCGTGATTGCATGTATCTTATAATCATTTGTGGATGTTGAATCTATGAAATCTTAATTAAAGTCTGTATCTCGTATAAGTAGTGATCGGAATCACAGAATCACCTTTGATGGATTTCACTTATGCGAGTATTAAAGTAGGTCATTTTTATTAGAATTGGTCTTGTTTTAAAAAATACTCATGAAAATCGGGGTAACCAAGTTGTAATGTGCTAACTAATAAAGATTATGTGAACACCTTGGTTATTTTTATGTAAGCAAAGTGATACATTGCTTAGCATAAACAACATCGTTTAATAAGTTTGAAACTACTACCGTTTCTGGGGTAAAGATTATTGGTTTACTAAGAGAAGATTCAATGTAGAACACATCTTCATGATTCATAAGAGTCTCCTTTCGACTAAATTGATGAACTATCTTATTTTAATATTAAAATGAGTGGTGAAATGATGATGTATATGTTTATTTTAATAATAAAACTACAGTATTAAAGTGCATTATATCTTATCAAGTTAGAGCCTGTTTGGATTGACTTAAAAGTTAATAAAACTTACTTCGAAGTTATTTTTAGCTTTTAAGTGTTTGGCAAAGTTAAAAATAACTTAAAATAAATTAAAATGACTTAAAAAATTTAAAATAAAAAATAGGACTCTCCCTACTCTTTATTTTAAGTTTAAATTATTTAAATTTGACATTTTATTTTTTAACTTAAAGCTACTTTTTTCAGTCAGTCCAAACTAGCTCTTAGTGGGTATAAAGTGGAGAAAATGATAGCCTTATTATTTATAACTCATGTAATCACCATGAAATCTTCTCCACATAATATCCTAGTACTTATTACCCCACTACACCTGAAGTAACTATTTCTTGACATTTACTAGATAGAAGAAATACTACACCCATATTAACGATAGTTTCTTCTTTGTGTTGGAATTATGTAAAGAAGATGAGAAGTATTATATTGTGAGGTTAGTAATAGTGAAAGAGAGGTGAGACAAATTCTAAATTTCCGACTTATCAACTATAAAAGAGAGGGTAATTTTATGTTGAAAGAATGTGCTCTTGTTAATTGGTTGAGCATTAGATCGTACTCTTCAACGAGTCCGGGGTTATTTGCATCACAAGACGTTGTTAATTGGTTGTTGTATCATGAAAGGAAAAAGTCAAGAGTTAAACTACTAAATGATGAAGATAATACCACAGGGGCTTTGTATCCCATTAAAGAAAGTGAGATAGCCGCACCTCAACCTAAAAATTTATTTATTCATTTTATTTTTTGAACTATAATTTATGATGTATTTGCCAAGACTCATAATTACACAATCGGATATATGATTTTAAAAGTAGTGAAATCAATTAAGTAAGATAATAACACAAGAAGTTCATTTACATTGTCCATAGAAATAAGATAAATCCAGAGCATATTGAAGAAATACTGATGCAGTGGAAAGGATTTCCATCTCCAAATGAAAGCATATACAAGGTAGTGAAAGTTACAAATAAAGAAATGATATATCAACCTAAAAGAGGAAACCATCGTTCGCGAAAATCAGACTGATAGGAAATCATGAAAAGGAGAAGCACAAGGAGCAATCCAACTCCCCATGGAGTGTCACCAAAGGATTCTTGATCAGGGAAGGAATTAAAGAAGAGAGATTTATCCAAGTGTAAAACTAAAAGTAGCAGTAAAGGAGATAACATGAGAAAAAGCTTCATCTGATCCATAATGCCTTCAAATATAGACTCATAGTTGATGTACCATGTAATACTTACAAATGTCAAAAGAACAAGAAAGAAGAAACACAAGTGTATGTGTATTGATAGAGGTTGTGAAGAGTAGTTATCAGCCATTTTTCTTGAATGATCACTTGTTAGGTTCTTGGACAAGACTATGGTTTTTATTTATGTATATATAATAGAAGAGTTAGGTACTTTATTTATGGCTTAATTAATGACTTAATAATGAAGAATAGAGTTATATAAAGAGAAAATGACACTTTTAAAGTTAGCGTTTGGATGCATCGTAGGATTCTTTCGTTTTTACGATCCACAAATATGCATGCAATTGGCCGGTGACTTTTTTATATGGTGGACAACCAAATTGTTGACACATCTCACCAGCCTCAAGGGGACCTCCTCTTATATATTTTTGTTACTGAAAGATTTTAAATTTTATCATTATCATAATTATTTTTATTTTTTTTTAAAGGAAAATATAATTTTTCTTCCATATTTGATTATTTTTTCTTTAAAAAAAAGCTTGAAACTCTATAAATTGAAAACATTTGAACTCATATTAAAAACACAATAGCATAAACAATGTAATTGATAAAATATTTTGTTTAGGAGGAGATTGTCTCTCAACAGTTTTAATACTTTTCTTTTATATTAGTTTTCATATGTAATCTAATTGGTCAAACCATAAAATAAATTATGTTTTTAGTACTAACTTTATTTGTCATTTGATTTATCACCAACATCAACATGATTTGTAAATTATATGCTTCCACATGATGCCCTGAATCTTTCGAACCCAAATAATACACTAATGTACCATTTAGCTTGGTTTCATTTTATATTTATGTATTTCAATTTTGTGTGCAAATTAAAGAAGTAAGACCTAAATTTGTATATAGTTTAGTAAGTAAACACGCGACTTTCTTGGCATCCGACGTGGCAACTCACGTTTTACATTACATGTTATGTGCATGTATTATGTCACCTAAAATGTATGTGTCTACTTGTTCTATTTTATACAACTTTAAATGTCTATTTATGCATACTCAAAGTGGAAAGGAATAAATATCAATTCAGAAAAAGTTAAATGAAATACTCATGTGTTAAAAAGAATAATTAGAGTCTCTTGTAATTTATTCCCATCCCGGATGGTCTTTTTAAAAATAAAATAAAATATATCCTTAGAGAAAACAATAGGTAATTTATCAACCCTATTACGACTTAAACCCAAACCTACCAATGGGAGGTAGAGTCATCTCACCAACAGAAAATGAATTAATTCGAAGACTTGATGTGATTTTTTAATATAGTAAGGAAAACATGTCTTCTAATATAGAAGTAGATGTAATATTCGTTTTAGTATATTAGCCATTTCTTCCCAAAGAAAGTAAAATCACATATTTTTAAAATTGCAAAACAAAAATACAGGTAGGGGATGTGACAGCAATATTTATCAAAGTGAAGGAGGAAATATCTTTGTTTGGAACAAACTTTAAAGTAATAAAAAATAAATTATAATCACAAATAAAATGTGAAAAAACATAATTTTATTGGTAAATGTACGGGGACAATTCTATTCCTCACTTGATTTTTCTCTAATAAGATCTCTCATAAGATTTTCATTATTCGAGGGCTGTTAGTGACGTATTTCTCGAATTAGGATGATTTAGATTTGATCTCTTTATGAATATTCAATCATTCTGTCGAATATTTGAGATGTCCTTTTTAGGAAATATAGTACCCTTTATATAGGTATAAACTAGGGTTTGGATTAAATAGCCACCAAAAATCCTAATTGAAATTGAACACATCTTGTAGAGTATTGAGTCTGACAAAATCTCTACCATCTTCATTATGATAAAATTGAACAAAAATCACTACGTCATTCATGTGTTTGATGCAATTAAATTAGTACAACATTTCCTAGTTCTTGTTACATTGTTTTCTTTTAATCAATCGATGTTAACAAGTATTTTAATGTAATTATCAGATAGATCTAGCTTAGTTTGTACTATTTTTATTGGGCAAATCCAAACGTATCTACTCAGAAGATTTGAAAATTAGGATATAGGTAAGCTAGCATTAGAATATTCTAGATTAAGTACACTAAAACAAAACAGTACTAGAAACAGACTTTTCCATTACGAACCGCTGAGAATTAATGTTATAAATATGATTTTTTTTTCATTCTATCCACTTAATCAACTCACTGAAAAATGCATTGCAGAAATAAATTCTCATTAAAACACTCAAAATAGGTAATATACAATTTTCTTTTCTTATTGATTTAACCAAAATATTTATGAAAATTATTATTGAACATTTTTGAGTGAAAAAAGTTTCAATAAAAAGAAATTAATTTTTTGGTAGATAAATATTGTACTATCAATCAGTTACACCTAACAGTAAGCATCATGTTCTCTACCTATAGGCTATACATATATAAATAAAGTTACTGAGTATTATATCAAAGAGGGGCTCCACTATGCATTATTGTAGTATGATATCAAAGTGGGGCTCCACTATATACATTATTGTAGTATTTAGTCGATAAAGTACATATCAGAGATGATGAGTAACATGGATTACCTTTTAAGCTGTAAACCATCTAGGACGTTGATGCCCATTTTAAAATAAACCTAGGGGAAGGGGTAAGTCGAAAGTGGCGATGCATTTTAGCCTTTTCAGATATTACTTGATCGCTATTGTGGACAAACTCAGAACACTAACATTACGATTGCAATAAGGCACAACACAATAATCATGAAGAACGATTTGGGTGTTTTCATGCGTTTGTGACCCAACGCTAGCACAATGTCCTCACGTCATTGTGATAGTGACACACATGTATATTATAGTAAAAATAACTTTTAACGGTAATAACTATATACATTAACAAAAAATTCTGAACTTTTTACCAACACTAGTTAATTGTCAGTAGATCCAATGTCACTATTGGCTATAGGAAATTGACAAAGAATGTTAATTATCACTAAAAATACATATTTAACGATAATTAAGCTATTATCGTTAACTAAATATCGTAAAATATTATTTTTGGTGCAGTGATCCCGGTGTTCACGGGTTGTTAGCTGTCACCAATACTTCAGATGTGCAATTGTTCTAATTGATGCTAAAACATACCTAAGCCTCTTAGGTCCCAATTCAAAACACAAGTTGGGCCAACTACTCAAAGATTTAGTTGCTACAACAAAACAATGAAAAATAAATGCACACAAACCTCGAGATGACCTAGATAAAAGGTAAACTATGATTTATGTTGGAGGTGTACTATTAACTATTCAAATAATAATAATAATAATAGTTGTTTATTATTGATTTGAAAAATAACTTAAAAAATAATAAATAATAAGAGTAATATTATTATATTATCCTTTGAATATATTAAATTTAATGATTTGAAAAATGAATTAGATATTGAATAGTATTTGATACCAAGGATAAAATAGACACAAAAAGGTAAATTATCTTTTGATTTTTTGAACTGGACAAGTACTGTTGGACAATTATTTTTTGTATAGTGGACAAGTAAAGATGGACGGAGGGAATATGTAGGTAGATATTTTTTTAATTTAATAATTGTTATTTAATTTAGATAAAAATTTAAATAGATTATGATTTAGGGATCATATGATAAGGTGTATAAAAATAATGTTAAATAGAGTGTATTAGTAATATTTGTATTAGTTAAGCTTGCATTAATTATGTAGAGATTATTTCTTATGCATTGTTTGGTTTGGTGTATTAAAAAAAACATACATTGTATAAATTTATAAAAAATATTTATTTACAAAGATACACTCCACAAACATGGTGGAAGAGATGTAAATGAGGTTTTGATGGGTAATTAGGTCTTTAACAATGATAATGTATGCATTAACCCTTGCATTAATAAATTAAATTTTCATGTATATTAATAATGCACACATCAATACTCAGAAGTTGTTTGGTAGAATGCATACAAATGATGTTAGATAGAGTGTATTAGTAATTCTTGTATTAGTTATGCTTGCTTTATTATAGAGAGATTATTCTTATTCATTGTTTGGTTTGATGTATTAAAAATAACATATTAAAAACAGAAAAGGGCCTCAAATACCCTTGAACTATTGGAAATAGTACAAAACTACCCTTCATCCACCTATTGGTTCCCAAATACCCTTGTCATACACCCAAATGCCCCTAACATCCATCTTTGGGTCCAATATTGACCATTTTTATAACGAAATATCATTTAAATAATTTTTAAAATACGTGGAGGTCATCTATTGGATACAATTTAATTACTTAAATTAATTTACAAACTCACCCATTATTAATTATATTCGACTCAAATTAACTACACCCGACCCAAATAAATTAATTACACCCGCCCCAAATTACATTTACCCCTCCAATTAAAACAAATACACCATTCATTCCCAACACTTCACTTCATCTTCCAACCTTCTTTCCCAATATATTCGTCTACAATCTCGAAAAATACTACCTAATTACACATATGTATCACCAAAGCACTCATAATTTTTTATGGTGATACATGAGTCTATTTGGGTAGTTTTTTTGAGATTGTAAGCGAATATATTGGGGAAGTAAGGTTGGAAGAAAAAGTGAAATGTTGGAAATGAAGGGTGTATTTGTTTTAATCGGTGGGGTAAATGTAATTTGGGGCGGGTGTAGTTAATATGGATCGGGTATAGTTAACTTTAGTCGAGTGTAGTCAATTTGGATCAGGTATAATTAGTAATGGGTGAGTTTGTATATTAATTTAAGTAATTAAATTGTAACTAATAGATGGTCGCCACGTATTTAAAAAAATCATTAAATGATAATCCACTATAAAAGTGGTCAATATTGGACCCAAAGGTGGATGGAAGGGTATTTGGGAGCCAATAGGTCGATGTCAGGGGTATTTGATTGTCAATAGGTGGATGGAAGATAGTTTTGTACATTTTCAATAGTTTGAGGGTATTTTAGGCCCTTTTCCGTATTAAAAATAACTTGAATTTCATAATTTAAGAAAATATATTTTCTTACAAAAATACCCAAAAAATATGGTGAAAAAGATGTAGAAAAAGTTTTTAGGAACAAAAATATCCTTAACCATGTAATACATGCATAAAAAGACTTTGCATTGCTAATGTTATGATTTTCCATGTATTAATTGT